GAACCTCAGCTCGCCATAGTTGCTAAGAGTGAAGGTGAGCAGACATAGATTTCACCGACATGAACAGGTGAATAATGAACATAGTCTTTTGCACCAGCCACCTGTTGAGCAGCAGTAAGACTTTTGTAGAATGATCAGCCGCTCCGGTTGGTCTGGGCAATGGCAAACAGAGTAACAGCATAAGTTTCACTGACATAAGCAGGTGAATAATGAACATAGTGTTTCACACCAGCCACCTGTTGAGCAGCAGGAATACTTTTGGACAATCCCAGCATGGTTGCCACGGATGACAACATTAGAAACAGCACTTGAAAAGACACAGCAACAGTCACAATCCCAGCATTACAGCACACTCCACTTTTCCGCTTGGCTCAATGACACTTTTACAACATCTGAAAAATTTCTGGCTTGTTCGTTGCCGGTTGCTAGGGGCAACGGCAGTGCAGGTTGCTATAGGGAAACAATGGAATATGAACCCCCCACATGTAGTACTACCATCTTTAGGGCCACTGGATTTGTTTTGGGTCTCCCTAAGTTCTGCATGCCCAGGCAACATGCATCTTCCACACTTGCATACTTGGAGACAGTCCTTGAACTGTTTTTTAATTGCCTTTATTAGGGGTTAACAACTTGGATGGGTTCTAGGGGTATTTGGGATGCCCAAGGAACTGTAAATTTGAGGACAAACTTCTTAGCAACCTGTACACTGTACAAAAAGACATGGATCCAGAAAACAACTAGAGCACTGTCTCTTTTAGCGAGCTCAAAGCCCCTTTGATGTACCTCTTCAGACCCCAGATGAATCCTTCCTCTTCACTCAGCTGCTCTGAGAGTATCCCTGGTAAGGGATTCCTAGATCTAATAAATGAAGTAGTCCCGGATGAGAACTATTTGGGTCTCACACCTGAGAGTCCTTTCCCTTTTTCTGGCCCAGGGGGTGTAGGAGTACTCACACTGTCCTGTCCTGTCAGCATGGTGGGTTAGTAGCTGTTTTCAGGCCTTTTGCTGGGCTGGCTCCTTTCCTACTGCTCAGGATGTCCTCCCTAAGAGATGGTGGAACAGTGAAGATCCTCCTGTTCAGCAAACAGCCTGTAGGTAGGCTCCCCTCCCTGCGGCCCCCTCCCCAGGCTCCACAATCCAACACCTTCAGTCCATCTTCCACCCAACTCCCTTGCTTCGCAGGCACTTCCACATTTAAGGGTTGTCCTTGGACACCATGCCTGGCCTCCTGGTCAAGTTCCCTTAAACATACAGATCTAGGCTTCCACCTCTCCTCTGCCCCTCTTCTAGATATTTCTCTGAGATTCTAGAAGGGTGAGAGAGTTTCTAGCTAAGCTAGAGAGCGCTAAATATTATACAAATAAAACAGGGTTTGCATTGTGTTATTGGTCTTGACTAAAAACTAGAAAGTTTTAGAGATAAAAATGCACAAAGGTCAGGTACTGTATGCTCTCCACCCCTGCCCCATTTATCAGACTGATACAAAAGCCAAAATAAGCATCAATCAGCAGATGTTAGCATTAGCTTCCTTGAAAAGTAAAGTCTGAGGAGCATTAGATCTTCACCAGGAACCACTGAGGAAAGCATTTCACTGTCTGATACCTCCAAGCTGCAGGCCAGTGCTATCTCAAATGCAGACATAAAGGAGGCAGATTTCATGCAGAACCTTAACCCAGGCACAGGCTAGACCTTGGTGGGCAACCTTTTTTTCAACTGAGCCAAATCTCGCCAAAACCATGATTGAAATTTATTTTGAGAGCCACATTTTTAAAACTGAAAATACATCTCCCATATAGTAATTCATCCCCCATAGCCCCATATAGTAATTCATCCCCCATAGTGTAATTCATCCCCCATAGTGTAATTCATCCCCCATAGTAATTCATCCCCCATAGTAATTCATCCCCCCATATAGTAATTCATCCCCCATATAGTAATTCATCCTCCATATAGTAATTCATCCCCCATAGTAATTCATCCCCCATATAGTAATTCATCCCCCATAGCAATTCATCCCCCGTATAGTATTTCATCCCTCGTATAGTATTTCATCCCCCGTATAGTATTTCATCCCCCGTATAGTATTTCATCCCCCATATAGTATTTCATCCCCCATATAGTATTTCATCCCTCATATAGTATTTCATCCCCCATATAGTAATTCATCCCTCATATAGTATTTCATCCCTCATATAGTATTTCATCCCCCCATATAGTATTTCAATCCCTCATATAGTATTTCATCCCCCCATATAGTATTTCATCCCTCATATAGTATTTCATCCCTCATATAGTAATTCATCCCTCATATAGTATTTCATCCCCCCATATAGTAATTCATCCCTCATATAGTATTTCATCCCCCCATATAGTATTTTCATCCCCCCATATAGTATTTCATCCCTCATATAGTAATTCATCCCTCATATAGTATTTCATCCCCCCATATAGTATTTCATCCCCCCATATAGTATTTCATCCCCCCATATAGTATTTCATCCCTCATATAGTAATTCATCCCTCATATAGTATTTCATCCCTCATATAGTATTTCATCCCTCATATAGTATTTCATCCCCCATATAGTATTTCATCCCCCCATATAGTATTTCATCCCCTCATATAGTATTTCATCCCTCATATAGTATTTCATCCCCCCATATAGTATTTCATCCCTCATACAGTAATTCATCCCTCATATAGTAATTCATCCCCCATATAGTATTTCATCCCTCATATAGTATTTCATCCCCCCATATAGTATTTCATCCCTCATATAGTAATTCATCCCCCCATATAGTATTTCATCCCCCCATATAGTATTTCATCCCCCCATATAGTATTTCATCCCTCATATAGTAATTCATCCCTGATATAGTAATTCATCCCCCATATAGTATTTCATCCCCCCATATAGTATTTCATCCCTCATAAAGTAATTCATCCCTCATATAGTATTTCATCCCCCACAGTACTATTCCCCCCCCCCCCTTCTAGTAAGCCAAGTCCCCCGTGTCAATTCACTTACCTTTTGCGTTCCTCTCGCTGTCTTCCCGCGCCGTTCGGGTCTTCAGGGCGGACTGTGAGAGGAGCCTAGCTCCCCTCCCCTCACGTTCGGCACGCTGCCCCGCCTACACACATCCTGACAGCCACATCCGCAAGCCGGATTAAAAGGTCCGCGCGGACTTTTGGGGCTGCCAACCGAGAGGAGGCAGGGGAGCAGGGCCCGACCGAGAGGAGGGAGGGGAGCAGTGCCCTGCACCAGAAGAGCCGCATTAGACTGGGTAAAGAGCCGCAGTGGCTCGCAGCCGCGGCTTGCCACCACTGGGCTAGACAAAAGAACAGCTGATTATAGAAGGAAAGACAGTGTAATAGCATAAATAACCGACCAAGAACATAAAATCTCTATTAATCACTTGCCAACCGCGATATATCCGAATTACGGCTACAGCGCCCCAGTCCTGGGAGGCCGTCATATATCGTCCTCCCAGAACGCGCCCTCCCGCTTACCCCCCCGCACACAGCTGATCATGTGATGTGGTAAAAGGCCAATCACAGCAGCTTTTTTCCGCGTGATCAGCTGTGTCCAATGACACAGCAGATCACCGGTAAATGCAGTTGCCGGTTATCGGTCGCACTTTCCTTACACTGTCACAGCGTGAGAAAAGTACTGCTGATAACCAGCAATTGCCAGGGGATGGATTGGCACCAATCAGCAGGGCACTGACGATCAGTGCCCTGATGATCAGTGCCACCCACCAGTGCTGCCCAGCAGTGCCCAGCAGTGCCACCCACCTGTGCCCATCAGTGCCACCCACCAGTGCCCAGCAGTTCCCCCATCAGTGACACCCATCAGTGCTGCCCATCAGTGACACACATCAGTGCTGCCATCAGTGCTACCTATCAGTGCCCATTAGTGCCGCCTATCAGTGCCCATCATTGTTGCATATCAGTGCAGCAGCATCAGTGCTGCCTCATCAGTGCCACCTATCAATGCTGCCTATCAGTGCCCATCAGTGCTGCCTATCCATGCCACCTGATCAGTGCCGCCAATCAGTGCCCATCAGTGCTGCCTATCAGTGCCCATCAGTGCTGCCTATCAGTGCAGTGTCATCAACACACATCAGTGAAGGAGAAAAATTATCTGTTTGCAAAATTTTATAGCAGAAACAAAGAAAAACTTTTTTTTTTCAAATTTTTTGCTTTTTTTTTGTTTATAGTGCAAAAAATAAAACACCCAGTGGTGATTAAATACAACCAAAGGAAAGCTCTATTTGTGTGAAAAAAAGGATAAAAATTTCATATGGATACATTGTTGCATGACCATGCAATTGTCTTTCAAATTGCGACAGCGCTGAAAGCTGAAAATTGGCCTGGGCAGGAAGGGGGTATAAGTGCCCAGTAGGCAAGTGGCTAAGAATGTTACAGATACAGTGCTTAGGAAACAGCTCTTGGACCCAGCCAGAAAACTTCCACAAGTTAGTCGTGGATCATAAAACTGTTAGCCTCCCATATAAGGTTAATACGAATTTTTGGTTCCTTTCGTGCACCCTTAAATCAGTAGTATCGTAACTCTTTGCACTACATGCAGCACATCAGAAGCCTTCCATCACCCCCACTCCTACACTAACTAAACCCCTTCTACATTTGATAGTGCAGCTATTAGTAGGAGATGTACAGCATTTTTGTTTTCTCTACATCCCTAGTTATGCTGTATTATGCAGTAATTAGAGGGGATCCACACAGCCGCAAAGAGATCCAAGAATGCATATGTTTGTGGGCACTTGCTGCAGTTTTAGGAAACTTCTTGCCTTGACTGAACAGTATCCCACCAGTGTATATGTTATTGTTTTTTTCAAGCAGTGTAGATTTTTTTGCATTAACAGTGCAGTATGTGCTTATGTTCTTTAAACGATTTGGTATTAATTATTTCCCTTACATATTAAGCATTAGTGTACTGTTGATTAATAGTGCTTTAACACTGTATTTTTGTTTTTTAGACATTAATGAATGCCAAGAGTCAAATCCTTGTCATCAACGCTGCTTCAATACCATTGGAAGCTATCGCTGTGGATGTGATCCAGGTTATCATTTGAAAGGCAGAAGTTGTTTTGGTATGAGTTAATCAGAATTACTACTGTAAAATAAGCATGCCACACGCACACCAAAAACACTCTTTGACTGTAGTGTTCTAGCCATAAGGTGACCTCCTTGAAGTTAATAATCCTAAAATAATAAAGATTATATTTGTGACTCTTCTATTGTCCTATTATCCTTTTATTCTATTATCAAAAAGCTATCCACTGGTCACACAGTTGGCTAAGTACTGTACATTTGCACTGGGTCAAAAACTGTAAAGTGCAAAATTAGCTTAGGGAACATGAGTGTTACAGTTTATGTACTTATGAGAGACGCCTTAGCTGCTGGTTGGCAGTATTCTCATTTGCAGAACATTGGATATAATGTGCTGCTAAGGACATGACAGGTGCCCAGTAGTTAAATCTGTCTGAAACAAATACATTTATTTGCCTGTAAAGTCCTAGGCTTAGGCCCTATTCACACCTACACAATGTGTCATTGTTTTTGCGCTTTTTTGCACATTTGTCAAGCACTTTAGCACGTGTAAAAATGTGCCAAAGTAGCTCCTGCTCCTTTTTTTGGCAGTGAGCCTCATGCTCCAAGGAAGCACAATCCATTGTTCCTGACTATCCTATTCTACCTACGTTTTACCATCTTCCGAAACCTCATAAGGGTCTTGATCCTCCTTTAAGTCGCCCCATAGTGACTGGTATCGGGTCTTTGAATGAGAGGCATTAGTCAGTGGAGTGGAGAGTGGAGGATACCCCTGATGTAAGTCACGACGCACGTGACGCTAGCGTCGGTTTGTCTACTTCCTGGTGACGTATGTCCGGACACAGTGGCCATATTGGATTCCCCCAGGTGCATGCATATCTACCCACAGGCTGGGAAAAACGCTTTTTATATAGATTGGAAAGGAGCAGATTTATGTGGAGTTTTGGAAAACTTTGTAATTTTTAACTTTGCCTATTAAATTTACTACACTATGGAAGGCTTTCTTGTCTTTTTATGAGTTGCATAAGAGAGGAGGAGGGAATAAGCGGTCTGCCAGAGGTATATACACCACTGAGGTGGTAACTGCTTTGAGGCCCTGTGTGGGTCGAGGAAGGGAGGTGAGCAGGCATTGCTGCCATTTGGAATTAGAGAGTACTTGCACTTAGAAGTGGAGATCACGTGTGTGTTCCAGCTTAAAGCACAGTCACATGCATGTCAAATATGTTTTTTCATCCTTTGATATTGTCTTGTTCACCTATGGCATATATCATTTATGTATAATTTAGACACCATTGTATGGTATGTGGAAATATTCTGTTCCATCATTTGTATATATATACTAATGTGTGTTATTTATTTTCATCTTTATGGTGGTGATATGCACTATAGTTATTTAGTTTCCTAATGTGTGTTATTTAGCTAAGGGGTTGACACTTTTTTTCTTTCACTAGAGGGAGTCAACACACACATTTATTATATATAGTGGTCACTTTGATTTATAATTACACTATATGGAGATACATGATTGTATTCATGTGATACAAGCGATTTTCACTAATTTTTAATTTTATTTTGCACTTATTGGTATCAGCTAAGTGACAGCAGCTGTATTTTGTCAATTATTCCATGAGCGCAGGAGGATCCCTTATTATTTAGCTTTATAAATACTGTATAATAATAATGTATCCCTGCTTATTATGCCAGTTCCAAATTTCATATAACTGTGATTTGTTCTAGTTACGAAGTATATCAGAGGTGTGTTTTCATTTCTGTCATTATATGTGTCATGTTTTTAAAGTTGTGTCATGTGATTTGTATACTATGTTATCCCTGATTCAAGTTTATATGCCAATTGTCATCAGCTGTTATATCCTGTTTAACGCTTCCTCTGACAAGTGAAAATCAGTAATGACTAAGCACATGTTTGTGTGAAACGCGTCTGCTGCTCCTCTGTCCTGTCTTGGAGCTGTAATGTTTTTATCATATCGCATGTAAAGAATTCCAATAAAGGATTTCATCCACCATATTGCTGTTTTTGTGTGGCCAACCATTCGGTTTTCCATTGCCTCATGCATTTTTTTGCATTGTGTGTTTTGGCATGTTTTGCCACATGACAAAACATACAACTGCTACCTGAGTTTGGGTTCTCGTTAAGAATTAATGGCACCGCAAGAGCCATGCATGTTTTGGAGCATTTTCCATGCGTTCCAGGAATGCAAAGGTGTGAATGGGGCCTTATCCTTGCAAAATTCTTTGTTATATTAAATGATTCTGCCAGTACAGTTGCTGTTGTCAACTTTGCAGGATCCTCCACTTCAGCATAGATTGCTAGACTTATGCTATCATATTAAAACAAATAAGTGACCTGCATAGCATAGTGTGGTACACATAGCGGTTGATTTACTAAAGTCAAATAGATTGTGTACTCTGGGAGCACTCCTTTATTCATTGTTTTTTGCAAGTGCAGTTGCACTCTTCAAGGGAATTTGCTCCAGAGCTTAGTACATGAGAGGAAGCTCTGTTGATTTCCATCATCTAATCATGTGCACGCAAAATGCTGTGTTTTTTTCCTTGCATATGATTGGTTATTCTTTGAAAAGTGAAGCTTTACCTCATTTACTAAGCTCTGGAGAAAATGCACTTGTAAAGTGCACAGTCTATTTGCGTTTTCACCACATCTCTCAGGTTTTAAATGTAATCCATGTACCATTCAACTGATTTTCCTTCACGTCCTATCCTTTAGACAGCAGAAAATCTTTCTAAAGTGAGGTAAAAACCTGAATAGTAAACTGGATCAAGTGTCAATGTTGAAGGATTACCTACTATTATAGTTTCCACTCAGAATGTTTCATTTTGGTTCATTTTCACTCCCAGTGACAATGGTCAGCAAGACAAAAGCAGAGAGTGAAAATTTTGACAGAGATTCTAACTCCTTACCACTCTATCCCAGTGGCGTCCCGAGGCAGGTGTGGGGAGTGCGGCCCGCACTGGGTGACACCGACTGCATGGGTTGACACTGGACCTGCTCCACAAAAAGGTAAGTTGTAAAGAAAGCCGACGATCCCCGCAGGATGTATCGGATCCATCCTGCGGGGATCGTCGGCTTTCTTTACAACTTACCTTTTCTTGGAGCGGGTCCGGTGTCACCCCGTATAGGTTGCATGCCGGCGATCCCCGAATCCTGCTCAATCCGCAGATCCGATCCATTCTGCGGGGATCGTCGGAGGGGGTGTCACCAAGTGTTACTGCACCGGGTGACACCAACCCTGGGGATGCCTCTGCTCTATCCAAAAATAAAAAAAAAAATAAAAAAAGTTTTCTTCTCTAGGTACACTTTAATAACAGAGGATATGTTACATTTGAGAAGGCTTAAAGGAGAAGTATAGCCAAAGCTTTTTTTGCTGTACTTTTTCTATGGATCACAGGAGTGCAGTTTGTTCTGCACTCTTGTGACCTATTTTCAACCAACAGCGGACTAAAGCCAGCTGTTGGCTGATGTCATGGAGCCAGTTCAGGCTCTGAAAAGATCCAGACCATATGGTCGGGATCCACCAAGATGCCTGGATCGGCACCCTGCTCAGCCTATCAGTGATCCGCCTTTCACCCCCTACCCAACCCAGCACTCCAGTGAGTGCTGGAGGGGCAGAGCAGAGAGCTGGTGACTGACAGTCACAGCTCTCGGCTCAGAGAGAAGGAGAACTGTGTAATCAGCCATGTTTGATCGCTCAGTTCTCACTGCAGAGACAGACAGAGACAGATGCAGCATTGGATTGATGCTGCATCTACCTAGCAGAGTATTCATTTTTTTAAGCCCATACTTCTCTTTTAATCATATAAAATATATATAATAAACTGTGTGAAATTACTATTTTCTGTAGATTTAAATGAATGTCATCAGAATGTATGTCGACCTGATCAACTTTGCAGAAACACACGTGGCAGTTATAAGTGCATCGACATTTGTCCCATTGGATTTACAAAGGCTGAAAATGGATCTTGTGTAGGTAAGTTATTTAATCAAAAGGTAGTACTATGCAAGTATTTGTATTATAATAATAACATTGTGGAATGACAGGGGAGTTTGTGATGGGCCTAATATAACCCCCTGTATTCTCTTATTGCCATATTCCTCAATTAACAAAAATAAAAGTGAACATCCTAAAAATCTAGGAAATTATAACAAGCTTCTCTGGACAGACACCTACATTTAAAAAGCCTACAATAAAGCAATATACAGTATTCATAGCATTGGTGCTTCTTGGCTTTCCCTGCAAGCAGCTGTAGACATATATATATATATGCACATACACACACACACATATACACACACTGTATTGCCAAAAGCATTGGGACACCTGCCTTTACAGGCACATGAACTTTAATTGCATCCCAGCCTTAGTCCGTAGGGTTCAATATTGAGTTGGTCCACCCTTTGCAGCTATAACAGATTCAACTCTTTTGGGAAGGCTGTCCACAAGGTTTAGGAGTGTGTTTATTGGAATGCTTGACCATTCTTCAAGAAGCGCATTTGTGAGGTCAGGCACTGATGGCTGACCAGAAGGCCTGGCTTGCAGTCTCCACTCTAATCTATACCAAAGGTGTTCTATTGGGTTGAGGTCAGGACTCTGTGCAGGCCAGTCAAGTTCCTCCACCCCAAACTCGCTCATCTATGTCTTTATGGACCTTGCTTTGTGCACTGGTGCACAGTCATGTTGTTCCAACAAAGCATGAAATTGTCCAAAATGTCTGGTATGCCGACGCCTTAAGAGTTCCCTTCACGAGAACTCAGGGACCAAGCCCAAACCCTGAAAAACAACCCTACCCCATAATCCCCCCTCCAACAAACTTTACACTTGGCTCAGTGCAGTCAGGCAAATACTGTTCTCCAGGCAACCGCCAAACACACACACATCCATCAGATTGCCAGACAGAGAAGCGTGATTCATCACTCCAGAGAACACGTCTCCACTGCTCTAGAGTCCAGTGGCAGTGTGCTTTCCACCACTGCATCCAACACTTTGCATTGCACTTGGTGATGTATGGCTTGGATGCAGCTGCTTGGTCATGGAAACCCATTCTATGAAGCTCTCTATGCACTGTTGTGCTAATCTGAAGGCCACAAAAAATGTGAAGGTCTTTAGCTATTAACTCTGCAGACAGTTGGAGACTTCTGTGCACTGTGCACTTCAGCATGCACTGACCCCGCTCTGGCAGTTTACGTGGCCTACCACTTCGTGGCTGAGTTGCTGTTGTTCCAAGTTACTTCCACTTTGCTATAACACCATGAACAGTTGACCATGGAATATTTAGTAGCAAGGAAATTTCACGGATGGACTTATTGCACAGGTGGCAACCTATCAAGGTACCACGCTTGAATTCACTGAGCTCCTGAAAGCGACCCACTCTTTCACAAATGTTTGAAAAAGCAGTCTGCATGCCTAGGTGCTTGATTTTATACACTTGTGGCCATGGAGGTGATTGGAACACCTGAATCCAATGATTTGGAGGGGTGTCCCAATACTTTTGGCAATATAGTGTGTGTGTGTGTGTGTGTGTGTGTGTGTGTGTGTGTGTGTGTGTGTGTGTGTGTGTGTGTGTGTGTGTGTGTGTGTGTGTGTGTGTGTGTGTGTGTGTGTGTGTGTGTGCATATATGTGTATATATATAATTTTTTTTTTTTTTTAGTAGATGTAAATGTACTGGTTTTATGAATAATTGTTGATCAAACCTATGGACAGTGCAGTATATAAATATACACAACTGGGCAGGGACTTTCAGAATATTTGTAATAAGCAAGTATGGCTGACCAACTATGTTTATCAAACCAAAGGCTGGTGGCTCACACTCTCTCTGCAGGATAGGTGCATTAAAAGCAAGGATCATCCCATTGGTCCAATGTATGATGAAACAGTTCGGGTTTGCAACACCACAAAAAGTTATTAACAACTGATTTGCACAGAAAATTGTATATGGTATTTTGTGTGGATGCCTTCTTTTTCAAAGAGCATTGAGTCTATAATTAACAATATGCCACTAACTAATTAAATGCAAAAGTTCCAGAAGTGACCAGGACACAAGCATAACCAACAGGTTCAAACAACATCAGGCCAATTGAATACATTTGTGTTGCAAGGAAATTCAGTCATAAAACATCAATTAGCAGTTTCCATTCATAAAAGGGAATGATTCGAACACATACACACCTAGAATGAAAACAAAAGTAATGAACAATGTAAAAACAAATCATTAATGAAATAAGTACATATTGTAATGAAGGTTTAGTTTCAGTTCACAGTTACCTCCCTGTTTCGACTTTGGAACAGAGTCTGTAATCATATATTAAAGTTGTAATATTTTGAGGGCTATTTATACAAAATTTGCTATGCGAACGTTTCAACATTTGTACAGGCTGAGCAAAAATACCCGTAATGTTTGTAATAATGCAGTTATATATAATAGTTTCCTTGTTGCCTTTTGCCGAGTGAATGTAACATTCCCTATCATTCGTCCCTATAGAAAAATAGGTATAAGAATATTCAACCATGACCATTAACATTCACAAATAAAGTAATTAGCCTAACACTATAGGCCAAGAACATCTGACCAGCAGAGAAAGTAATATGGGAGACAATGGATGTTTGGCTGAAAGACTTTCTAGCTGCAGTGTGAAGTAGAACATCTAGAAGTGGTATTATAAATGTGACAGCTTTCTACTGGTTGATAGAGAGCCGGTACTGGCGCTAGTGTCTCAACAGCTAGTGACTCAAACCTGCCCAGGCCATTCAGCTGTCAGCCGGGGATCTGCCCCTATATCCTAATGCTTACATGAATATGGTTAAAATGGTACATGTCTTCATAGCCTTTTTTATAAACACTATTGTTTGTGGCTTAGATTTATAGATTATATATATTTGCAATATGGTCTAGATACCCTAGTTTGATAAATATCTAAATAGTAGTATACATTGGTTACTATTTAATATAGTATATTCTAATGGAAAAATTACAATTTGGATACTCTTGTTATTTATTATAACAGTACTTTAGTAAATGACATGTACACAAAATATATGGATCAAAACTAGATTTTACATTTCTGCAGTTTTCACCTGCTTTCTGATTTTAAATTAACTACTCATAGCCAGCTTCAGAGAGTACAAACAGTTGTTAGCAATGATACATCCAGAGTGTTGCCTTTATCAGAGATGCTTAATAAACATATCCTTACATAACAACGTTTCATGTTCCTCCACTGCAGTCATATCACAGGGGAATACTGTACAGTTAGAGTAGAAAATAATAAAAAAACATTCACATTCCGGGGCTCTAAAATTGGATGTTATCCTTGCTAATTCTCTATTTATTGCTCCAGTCATGCTAAAGGTGATTTTTTCCCCCAACCCCAATATGGGATAAAGGATACAAATAAAAGGTTTTTACACAAGCCACAATGACTTTGTCCATTATGTAGTCCCTGTGTACTATATACTATGTGTGCAAAACAATTCAAAAATAAAGAAAGAATAGTGAGGCACAAATACTGTATTACATCAGGAGCTCTCAAACACATATGTTGGAAGACACTTTCTTGAACAAAGACACAAAGGAGTTGACTTACCAAAACTGGAAAGTGCAAAATCTGGTGCAACTCTGCCTAGAAACCAATGAGCTTCCAGGTTTAAGCTTAACTGAGCTGATTGGTTACCATGCACAGCTGCACCACATTTTGCACACTCCAGTTTTGGTAAATTAACCCCAAAGTATCACAACATAAATGTATCATTAAAGAGATGCTTATAGACACAATTCCAAAGTTGAAAGGGGGAGGTAACCAGGAAACTGAAATTAAAACAACACGCAGTGAAATGGATACATAGATGAAAGTAGAACTTAAGGCAAAGCATTTTTTTCCATTTTGAATAGCGTAGGGGAGGGTTATAACCTCTCTGTCCCATTGGGGAGATTCTCCTTTACTTCCTGTCCTACAGCCAAACAACCAAGTGAGAGGAAATCTCTCCAACGTGAGGGAATCCTAGGGTGACAATAGGACCACCAGAGCATTTCACCAGGAAGATTTCTGCTCTATTACCCCAAACTGGGATAATAGAGGGGAAATTTATTTTCATTTTCTTTTATTTTTGGTAATAATGGAAAACAGCACAAATGGCTAAATGGTTAGCACTTCTGCCTGGCAGTACTAGGGTTGCTGGTTCGAATCCCAACCATGGCACCACCTGCCTGGAGTTTGCCTGTTCTGCCTGTGTGGGTTTCCTCTGGGTACTCTGGTTTCCTCCCACACTCCAAAGACATGCTGATAGGATAATTGATCCTGTCTAAATTGACCCTAGTATGTGTATATATGAATGTAAGTTTGGGACTTTATATTGTATGCCCCTTGAGGGTTTGGGACTGATATGAATGTACAATATATAGATGTTAAGTGCATCTCCCTGACAGTGTCATAAAATTAAATCATTAAATTGATTGGACATGATTTGGAAAGACACACACCTCTCTGCAAAACGCCTCACAGCTGACAATGCATACTGTATCAGAACAAATCCCATAAGATCAAAAGAACTGCCTGCAGAGCTCAGAGTTTTGATTATTGCAAGGCACAGATCTGGGGAAGGAAAAAAAATCTCTTGCACACTGAAGGTTCCCAAGAGCACAGTGGCCTCCATAATTCTCAAATGGAAGACATTTGTCACAGCCAGGATTCTTCCAAGTGCTGGTCGCTCGGCCAAACTGAGCAATCGGGGGAGAAAGGCCTTAGTAAGAGAGGTGACCAAGAATCCTGATGGTCACTCTGACTGAGCTCCAAAGATCCTGTGTGGAGATGGGACAAAGTTCCAGAAGGACAACCATCACTGGCTCTTGGAAGAGTCCTGGTTGTGCCAAACTTCTTCCATTTGAGAATTATGGAGGAGGCCACTGAGCTCCTGGGAACTTTCAGTGTAGCAGAAATTTTTTTGTAGCCTTCCCTAGATCTGTGCCTTGCTCTGT